ATCTTATTGTGTAAGATATTGCACAAAGAAACGAGTGAACAAAAATGTTGTATTTTTTCACAAAAATTAGCTGATTAAGATAAAATTACGAATTATGTCATATTTCATTCTGAGAACAAACATACAATTCAAATCTATAAATAATGCATATCAATCAGTCCATTCAACAACTTTGCGTCAGAAAACATCTGTATCAATCTGACCTCGAGTTGAGATTATAAATAGAACTAAACCGGAAGTATGACAAAATGGCGCTTGTTTAAGAAAATTGAGAAATTTTGTAACATAAACTCGTATTTCATAACAAAGAAGTGAACAATTATTGATGTGCTTGGTTGAAATAGGTATTTTGTTAACTATTTGTGAAGTATTAAGGCATGACATTCAGTATTTATGTAAATAGCACCTGCCGTGTTATGATTTCTAAAATTATACATGTACACATGTGTTATTGACCTCAATAAATGTAAATGAAAATGGAACAATGATTATGGTAATTATCCATGGAGCAAGTAATACTTAATTATCTTTATCATATTGTTAACTAAGCAAGAAGCTTACGTAATTTAAAAATTACCTAGCCTCACAATATTATCAATTTAAACTTGAAAATCTACTCAAAATGACTTCCCAAACAGTAATTTTTGAAAAACATGAAAATGATTCATGTAGAAAAACAACACAAGAAAAAACTGATTTGACTCATGAAAATTTTGCCCAAACACAGTCTGCCACATGAAATTCTGAGCTTCCTGAGATCCCTGCTGTTTGTTGTTGTTGTTTTTTATAACATTTTATAAGATTTAATTTTACAATTAGTTTATACAAATTTATTTTAGTTCGATTGTATTGGAAGCTATAAGCTTATTGAAACACTCTTTTTAATTTTACAATTAAACCTGTGTATAGAGCCACTCCTGTGAACAGAAAGAAGTTTTTGTAGAAAGGGGTGTTCTAATATGATAAACCACAGATGCTTGGGGGTTAGATCCTGCCCCCCCCAACTTGATATCCCTGAGTAAACGCTATCAAAAAATATTTTATTATTTAAACACTAATGGGATATCTGTTATGACTATAATAGTGGTTTTCGAAAAAAATTACAGATATGAAAAAAAAAATACTGTTTACTATCATGTATTGAGACTTGATTCCGGGCAGGCATGCGAATTGGTTGGGCCATTTTTCGTAACAGTTTTCTCAGCAACTACTTATCAGAGCCTCATGATATTTAGTAAACAGCATCAACACATTGTCCTATACCATGGGATTCGATTTCAGTTCTGTCGCTCATCCACTTCATGTTTACTGACTTAGTTAAATTCATAATAATGGTCTACTTATCACAGACTCTTGATATTTGGTATACAGCATTAATATGTAGTCACATACCATGGGATATGATTTCAGGTATGTGGCTCATCCACTTCCCGTTTGCTGACTTAGTTGAATTTTCAGCATTAATTATACCCCCACCACAAAATGTGGGGGGGGGGGCTATAATGGATTCGCTTTGTCGCGTCGGTCGGTCCGTCCGTCGGTTTCGTCCGTCTCCATTTTCGTGTCCGCTCTATCGATCCTATACCAATTGTCAAGGTTACAATTGAAGGTCAAATATCAAACACAATCAAATATTAGACAGTATGTCGTGTCCGCTCTGTAAGTCCTACACTAATTGAAAGATTTTCTTCAAACTTGGCTCTGTAAGTCCTACACTAATTGAAAGATTTTCTTCAAACTTGGCTCAAATGTTCACCTCAACAAGGGGATGTGCAGAACCTATGTTGCGCATGTGTCAGCTGAAGGTCAAGGTCACAATTGAAAGTCAAATATCAAACAATCAAATATTAGAAAGTATGTCGTGGCCGCTCTGTAAGTCCTACACTAATTGAAGGATTTTCTTCAAACTTGGCTCAAATGTTCACCTCAACAAGGGGATGTGCAGACCCCATGTGGCCCATGTGTCAGCTCAAGGTCAAGGTCACAATTGAAAGTCAAATATCAAACAATCAAATATTAGACAGCATGTCGTGTCCGCTCTGTAAGTCCTACACTAATTGAAGGATTTTCTTCAAACTTGGCTAAAATGTTCACCTCAACAAGGGGATGTGCAGAACTCATGTTGCCCATGTGTCAGCTCAAGTTTAAGGTCACAATTGAAGGTCAAATATCAAACAATCAAATATTACACAGTATGTCGTGTCTGCTCTGTAAGTCCTACACTAATTGAAAGATTTTCTTCAATCTTGGCTCAAATGTTCACCTCAACTAGGTTATGTGCAGAACCCATGTCACCCTTTTGCCAGCTTAATGTCAAGATCACACTTAAAGGTAAACAAATTGACTTAGAAAATATTCTTAAATTTTAACATGTATTTGAATATTTCTGAAACTAGAAAAGGTATTTGCTTGAAACTTCAAATATATATGCAGTGTCACAATTAAGATATGCTGGTTAAGTTTCATAACTCTGTATTGCATTTGAACAAAGTTATGCCCCTTTTTAAGTCTTCAAATTTACATACAATCAAATATTAGAGAATATGTTGTGTCCGTTCTATAAATCCTATACTAATGGAAGAATTTTCTTCAAACTTTACTCAAATGTTCACCTCAACAAGGTTATGTGCAGAGTCCATGTCACCTTTGTGCTGGCTAAAGGTCAAGGTCACACTTGAAGGTCAAAAATTGACTTGGAAAATGTTCTCAACTTTTAACATGTATTTGAATATTTCTGAAACTAGAAAAGGTATTTGCTTAAAACTTCAAATATATATTCAGTGTCACAATTAAGATATGCTGGTCAAGTTTCATAACTCTGTATTGCATTTTAACAAAGTTATGCCCCTTTTTAAGTCTTCAAATTTACATACAATCAAATATTAGAGAATATGTCGTATCCGCTCTATAAATCCTATACTAATGGAAGAATTTTCTTCAAACTTTACTCAAATGTTCACCTCAACAAGGTTATGTGCAGAGTCCATGTCACCTTTGTGCCGGCTAAAAGTCAAGGTCACACTTGAATGTCAAAAATTGACTTGGAAAATGTTCTCAAATTTTAACATGTACTTGAATATTTCTTAAACTAGCAAAGGTATTTGCTTGAAACTTAAAAGATATATGAGGTGTCACAAATAAGATATGCAGGTCAAGTTTCATAACTCTGTATTGCATTTTGACAAAGTTATGCCCCTTTTTAAGTCTTTAAATTTACATACAATCAATACTAGACAATATGTTGTGTCCGCTCTATAAATTCTATACTAATGGAAGGATTTTCTTCAAGCTTTACTCAAATGTTCACCCTAACTGGGCAATATGCAGAACCCATCTTACCTTTGTGCCAGCTTAAGGTCAAGGCCACACTTGAAGGTCAAAAATTGACTTATAAAATGTTTAGTATATTGGGAAAATGAAAGGTTATTTGTAACTGTTTCAAACATGATTTGATAATATATATTTATACTATTACCTGTACAATTAGTCTTTTTTCACCAGAGATAATTTCCTTATATGTATTTGTGCCACTAAAGTTATTCCATTAACCACCTTTCCAAGTTGTCTTCTGTCAAGGACATTGGTGGGGGTATGAATCGCAAAAAAGAGATATTTCTATACACTTGTTTGCATTCCTGTTGCTGTTGGCCAAAAATACTTTACATTTGACACTAACCTTTAAATGACATAATCACATTAAAGAATTTTATAAACCTGTTGCTTGTTTTTAAAAAGTAAAATACTTTTAAGATCTATTCCTTAAGGTGAGCGATATAGGGCCATCATGGCCCTCTTGTTTTATTTCACCTTTCTATGGCTGCATGAATACTATGGGAAAATGTTGATATTAAAGGTCTTTCATTTAACCCCGGCGAAATTCATGGTCATTTAACAATGAACTACCATGAACTACAATGGTATTGCATGGTCCTGTAACCATAAACTACCATAGTAGACCATGTTTTGTTAAATGGCACCACAGTTTTTTATGGTCACCTAACCATGGTTGCTAACACCATGGTCTACCATTAAATAACATGGTAGATCAAGTCTACTGACACCATGCTCTACCATGTTAATTTATTCCCAGGTGAAATGTATCATGTTTTATCATGAAATAACATGAACTAACATGGCTCACATGCAGATCATGGTCAGCCATGATTGACCATGTTATGTTACACGGCCCCTGTGTAATAAGAGGTTAATACACGGCAGGAGAGGGCTGGAAGGTGATAATCGGCCCGCAAAATGAATAATGGACCCGAGGGCTTTAGCCCGAGGGCCATTATTCATTCAGGGCCGATTATCACCTTCCGGCCCTACTCTGACGTGTATTAATGTCTTTAATACACTTGGTAGATCTAATAGTAGCATTTTTTTTAAAACAAGCAAACAAAAAACACCAACAAATACTTTGAAGTTCTTTCGTTGAAATTCTTGTCTACCCTTCTACTGTTCTGTACAGAGACGTTTACTGTTTGTGTGTTCAAAGCAGTAGAATCTAGAAGCAAGTTTTATTTTCTTTTTTTTTCGGAATGAATTTGTCGTATTATTTCTTCAAATTTCAATAGTAACAAAAATGTGTTTGTACTAAATACGCTTAAGCTCTCATAATAGAAATAAAGCGATGACGTAAAATATGACGTCATTGGTTCAGTTTGTGCACGTGCACATGTTCTGCGGGCTGATAACTAGTTCTCGGCCCCGGGCCGCAAACTCATAATAGGTCACGTGACACTCATAATCAGTTGAAATCATAGGCAATTTTGTTACTATATATAGTAACAAGTGTATTAAGATGACTTACGTAAATTACTTATGATGTAGACTAACATAATAATAGTATACATAAAACTATGAATATCTTGACTGAATTTGAGAGTGTGCAGTTTTTACATGGGAAAACATATTTAATGTTCTTTTAAAATTAATTAACCTGCATATTCTTTGTGTAATGTTTAATATGCTGGTTCCTTTGTGATCACTTTTATTTGTAGACGTCGCCAGACTTGTCACTTTATCCTAATTCCATGGTACGTTTGAAGCATTTGGCAATGTGCCATACATTAAATCCTTTCTGATCTGATATTATAATATTAACCAGCCAGCCTGCATATAAAACAAACAGTGCTTGCCATTCATCTTTTTAAAATGTTCCCACCTTTTCCCACATGTATATTTTCCTTGTGTTTGCATCTTTATCAGTGTTTATTCCATAATGTTTGTTAAATCCATTTGTGAAATATTAAATCTGGGTGTTGGGTAACATGTCAGCAAAGTCTGAGTGTTTAATTCAATTGTTTAAACACTTTAAAACATATATCATGCTGTTGACACAATCACACATGGATTTGGACACCATATTTGAATGTTGCGTTGTGGTAAGGTTTACCTCCACTTTGAAGAGTATTCAAATTATAAGGCTAGAACTACTGTTAAATACAATGAAACTTAGGGCCATGGGTTCAAACCCCAGATGGGTCAACATTCTTTTTCTTTTCTTTTTTATGCCACCGCAGCATCTGCGCTGCGGTGGCATATAGCGATTCACCTGTGTGTGTGTTTGTGTGTGTGTTTGTGTGTGTGTTCTATAGATTATATAGTGAACTTAAAAAATCTTCTTGTGAAAAACCACTAGTCCAATTTCAACCAAACTTGGCAGGATTGATCCTTGGGTAAAGGGCTTCCAAAGTTGTTCAAAGAATTTCATTCCATGCAGAAATCTGGTTACAATGGCAACCAAAAGAAATTATAAGAATAAATTTAAAAAATCTCCTTGTAAAGACCCAAAGGCCTAGAGCTTAGATATTTTGCATAAGGCATTGTCTGGTAGACCTCTACCAAGATTGTTCAAATTATTGCCCTGGGGTCAAAATCGGCCCCGCCCTGGGGGTCATTGATTTTCACTATATGTACATATAGTAAAAACTCAAAATACCTTCTTGTAAAGACCCAAAAGGCCTATAGCTTAGATATTTTGCATAAGGCATTGTCTGGTAGACCTTTACCAAGATTGTTCAAATTATAGCCCTGGGGTCAAAATCGGCCCCGCCCCGGGGGTCGTTGATTTTCACTATATGTACAGTAAAAACTCAAAATACCTTCTTGTAAAGACCCAAAAGGCCTAGAGCTTAGATATTTTGCATAAGGCATTGTCTGGTAGACCTCTACACAGATTGTTCAAATTATAGCCCTTGGGTCAAAATCGGCCCCGCCCCGGGGGTCCTTGGTTTTTCTTATATGTATATAGTAAAAACTTATAGTAAAAACTTAAAAAAAAATTTCTTCTAGCAATTGACAAATGCTAGAGGTTGGATATTTTGCATGAAACATTGTGTAGTGAACTTCTAGCAAGATTGTTCAAATTATAGCCCTGGGGTCAAAATTGCTTCCGCCCCGGGGGTCATTGATTTTCATTATGAACATATAGAAAAAAAAAATTTTGTCTGAAGGTACAAGGCATAGAGCTTTGTTGGCTATATAATATCATCTATAGGTCCTCTACCAAAGTTGTTCAAATTTTTGCCCTGGTGTCAAAATTGGCCCTGCCCGGGGGCAGTGATTCTCATTTTGTACACATAGTAAAAACAGAAAATAAAACAAATGTTTTCTGAATGGGAGAAAGCTACAGCTGAGATATTTGACTTGAAATGTTGTTTGGTGGACCTGTATCAAGATTGTTTTAAATTAAACCCTTGGGTCAAAATTTTGCCTTGCCCAAGGGGACAGTGACCTACTTTTTTGTCCTTTGATATACAACAATGAAATTTTGACCATGTGCACAGTTTTAGTTGTAAAATTGAACTTTGATATCAGGTGACATAGATTTTGATGATGTGACCTACTTTCTTGTTCTTTGATGTACAGCTATGAAATTTGAACCATGTGCACAGATTAAGATGTAAAGTGAACTTTGATATCTGCTGACCTATATTTTGACAAAGTGTCTTACTGTGTTGTCCTTTGATGTAGTCATGAAATTTAGGCTGTGTAAAATATAACCTTCACCACCAAATTCACTAGACTCAAGTGCATTGATATATTCCTACGCTGATCTTTTATTGGATTAACAATAGATTTAACCAATAATCTGATAATAAGATTTTTAAAGAATTAGATAGGTCAGGTATCTATGCATTATGACATTCAATTTTATAGAAACAAAAAAAAATCTGTTCCTACACTACTATTTAGTGTTGTATTAATGCGGTGGCATAGCATTTTTGTGTCGCCTCTACGGAGTAGTGGCGACATATAGGGATCACTTCTCCGTCGTCTGTCCGTCTGTCTGTCTGTCCGTCCGTCCGTCACAAAACTTGTCCGGACTACTCCTCATAAACTACTGGTGCAATTTCATCCAAACTTTACAGGAATGATCAGTACCAAGTCTAGTTGTGCATATTGTCAGCATTTTCCGGTTCAATGATTTTTGTCAGAGTTATGGCCCTTTAATAATTTTTAATTTTAAAGTTTGTCCGGACTACTTCTCTTATACCACTAATGCAATTTCAATGAAACTTTACAGGATTGATCTGTAGCTCAAGTCCTTGCGCATATTGCACGGGTTTTCCGGTTGAATGATTTTTGGCCGAGTTATGGCCCTTTGATAAAAAGGTTTCTTTTTCTGTGTGTTGCCAGATACACAAAAGCTTGTCCGGACTACTCCTCATAAACTACTGGTGCAATTTCATTCAAACTTTACAGGAATGATCAGTACCAAGTCTAGTTATGCATATTGTCAGCATTTTCCGGTTCAATGATTTTCGTTTGAGTTATGGCCCGTTAATAATTTTTATTTTTAAAGTTTGTCCGGACTACTTCTCTTATACCACTAATGCAATTTCAATGAAACTTTACAGGATTGATCTGTAGCTCAAGTCCTTGCGCATATTGCACGGGTTTTCCGGTTGAATGATTTTTGGCCGAGTTATGGCCCTTTGATAAAAAGGTGTTTTTTTCTGTGTGTTGCCAGATACGCAAAAGCTTGTCCGGACTACTCCTCATAAACTACTGGTGCAATTTCATCCAAACTTTACAGGAATGATCAGTACCAAGTCTAGTTGTGCACTGTCCATCTGTCTGTCCGTCTGTCACAAAATTTGTCCCAACATGAAATTGGCCATCATGAGGCGACACATGTGATTACTGATCGCTCTTGTTCTCAAATGTAATCTTGTTTCTTTTAACATTATTTATGTAACTCTCATATCCCCTTAAGTGTTTCATATTTTTATACCCCCGCACAACAAATTCGTAAGGGGGGTATACTGGAATCAGCTTGTCCGTCCGGCCGGCTGTCTGGCCGTCCCGCTCTCCGTCGGTTTTTTCTTGTCCGCCCAATAACTTAAGATTCCTTTGACCCACAGTCTTCATATTTGGCATGGAGGTTAGTCATGATTATTAGATGGCCCCTGTTGATTTTGAGGTCACCAGGTCAAAGGTCAATGCCATAGGGCCTTGACTTCAAAAAGCTTGTCCGCCCAATAACTTAAGATTCCTAAATTGACCCACAGTCTTTATATATGGCATGGAGGTTAGTCATGATTAGTAGATGACCCCTATTGATTTTGAGGTCACTGGGTCAAAGGTCAAGGTCACAGGGGCCTTGACTTCAAAATGCTTATCCGCCCAATAACTTAAGATTCCTTTGACCCACAGTCTTCATATTTGGCATGGAGGTTAGTCATTATTAGCTCGACTTTTTTTTTTTTTGAAAACAAAGTAGAGATATTGTTATAGTCGCGGCGGCGTTGCCGCTGCCATTGCCGTCCGCAAACTTGTACCTGGATCATAACTTTTTTATTTCTTGGTGTATTGTCTTCATACTTGGCCACAACAACCCTTGGGACAAGACCTTTCAGAAGACCACACTAACCTTGACCTTCATCCATAAATGACCTTGACCTTCAAGGTTAAATGTCCAAATTTTGCTTGTTTATGCTGTTATTGGCTGTAACTTTGTTATTTTGAATGGATTGTCTTCAAACTTGAACATAATAATCTTCAAGGATATCCCTTAAAAATAACCAGACAGACCTTGACCTTCACTCATAAATGATCTTGACTTTGAAGGTCAAATTATTGAAATTTTCATTTTTTTGGCTATTATTGGCTGTAACTTTGTTATTAGCTCACCTGTCACAATGTGACAGGGTGAGCTTTTGTGATCGCTTTTCGTCCGGCGTCCGTCCGTCGTCCGTCCGTCTGTCCGTAAACTTTTACTTTAAATGACATCTCCTCATAAACCACTAAGCCAATTTCATCCAAACTTCACAGGAATGTACCTTTGGTGGTCACCTTTAAAAATTGTTCAAAGAATTTAATTCCATGCAGAACCCTGGTTGCCATGGCAACCGAAAGAAAAAACTTTAAATATCTTCTTTTAAAAAACCCAAAGAGCTAGAGCTTAGATATTTGGCATATAACATCTTCTAGTGAGTGTCTACCAAGTTTGTTCAAATAAAAGCCCTGGGGTCAAAATTGGCCCCGCCCCAGGGGGTCATTGATTTTCCCTATATGCATATAGTAAAAACTTAAAAAGTCTTCTTTTAAAGAACCCAAAGAGCTAGAGCTAAGATATTTAGCATGAAACATCTTCTCATGAGTGTCTACCAAGTTTGTTCAAATAAAAGCCCTGGGGTCAAAATTGGCCCCGCCCCAGGGGGTCATTGATTTTCCCTATATGCATATAGTAAAAACTTAAAAAGTCTTCTTTTAAAGAACTCAAAGAGCTAGAGCTAAGATATTTAGCATGAAACATGTTCTAATGGGTGTCTACCAAGTTTGTTCAAATAAAAACCCTGGGGTCAATATTGGCCCCACCCCGGGGGTCATTGAATTTCCTTATATGTGTATAGCAAAAACTTAAAAATCTTCTTTGAAAAAACCCAAATAGCTTCTGTTTAGATATTAAGCATGAAACTTCTTCTACTAAGTGTCTACAAAGTTTGTTCAAATAAAAGCCCTGGGGTCAAAACTGGCCCCGCCCTAGGGGTGTCATTGTTATATGTGTATAGTAAAAACTTAAAAAATC